TCTTCTTCTTCTTCTTCTTCTTCTTCTTCTTCTTCTTCTTCTTCTTCTTCTTCTTCTTCTTCTTCTTCTTCTTCTCTTTCTCCTTCTCCTTCTTTCTCCTTCTCCTTCTCCTTCTCCTTCTTTCTCCTTCTCCTTCTCCTTCTCCTCCTTCTTTTTCTTGGGATTAAACCCAAGGCCTTCACACTGAGCTACATTCTCAGCCCTGTTTATTTATTTGTTTCTTTATTTTGAGACAAGTTCTCACTAAGTTGCTGAGTTACCTAGACTGGGCTTGAACTTGGGATCCTGTTGCCTTAGCCTCCCAGCATGCTGGGATTATAGGTATGTGTGGATACTGTGTCCAGCTCCCCCAAAATTTCTTAAACTTTTCTTGATATATTTGATATCATTGTATTTCACTCTTACCTTTTATGCAGTTTCTTCAAACCTGTGTTCCAAGTCATGAATTTGCTCTTCAGTAGTGTCTAATCATTGGAAATGATCCTCATTTTTCCCCACTTATATTTTTCAATGCTAAACATTCTATTTGGTTCTTTTCTAATCAGTCTGCCCAGTTCTCATAGCTTTTGTGTCCTTCCTTCAAAATTACAATCATTTCTTTTTCATTCATTCATTTTATTTAATATATTAAAATATCTTAAAATAATCCATGTCTGATAATTCCAGTATCTGTCTGGGTATTGGTCTGGTTCTGCCACCTCTTCATTGCAGTGGCTTGATTTATCATGTGTCTGGTGCTTTGAAGTTTTTTAGTTTATATCTGGAACCACTTCTGCAAGAATTCTCTAAAGGTGAAATCCAGTTGCCAGTATAAAATACCCAGCACTGACACACACAAGCTGTGTGATCCTAGTAACCGTAAAGTCATATAACCTCTTTGAAGATTATCTTCCTCATTCAGTAAGTGGATCTCATGGTACCTCCTTCAAGGCTACATAGGAGTATATCAGAGATAAAAATGGGATGTTCAAAATGATGAAAAGATTTGAAAAACAAAGATGCTATTACAGTGGAATAGGGATAATGTTCTGTGTTAGCAGTGGTAACAGAAATCCAGACTGTGTAACTTCTATATTTAGTACTTGGAATACTTTTCTGCCTTTATTTTCCCAGATAGATTTTATCATTCATTTCCAACTGGTGGAGGCCAAGTCAGTGACCACAAGAGCTTAGAAGTAATGAACATTTCTTGTGTGTGCTGTTTGCCAGGCCCACAGTACATCACACACAGTCATTCAATGAACTTGTGCCTCACACATACACATTCCTGACACACTCTCCTTCCACAGGAATGTGCATTCCCGCATCTACACCTCACTTCCTACTGTGCTTCAGCCATCGATTCAAGTCTCTTCATTGAGACTGTCTCGCTCACTCCATCTGAAAGTTCATGACATCCTCACCCCCTACAGCACAAAATTTATTTAGTTTGAGACAAGATCGCACTGTGTCACCCAGGCCGACCTGGAACTTTTGACAATCCTCCTGCCTCAGCTGCCTGAGTACTAGGATTACAAAGGTGTGCCACTGTACCCGACTACAATTTCTCTTATTTACTTACATATTTCTTGACTCTTTCTCCCCCCACTCAAATCTGAACTCCCTGAAAAGGAAGATTTTTTTTTTTTAGGTTAAGAGCAAAAATATATTTATTGTGGGAAAGAAAGCTTCTATGCGAGAAAGAGACAGAAGGGGTCCCCAGTGGGCTACCCAAAAAAGAGATTTTTGTTTAAAATAAATATTTTTATTAGTTCTATTTCTTTACTGCTACCTTCAGTGCCTACAATAGTACCTGGCATGAAGTAGTAGCTTCAATAATTATCTTGAATAAGTAAACAAATAAATATCTTTGAAAGGGGCACTATTACTTTCCCTTACTTACATGTAAGTAAGTTAAGGCTCAGAGAAGGTAAGTGATTTGGGCAGAGTCACACAGTTGTTTTATGGAGAGCCTGAATATGCACACAGTGGGCCCCTTGGAGACTGTGTCATGGTAACGGGTACAGTGTGCTGTCAGACAGAGAGCCGGGAGCTGACGCTGTGCACGGCCACCTGAAGGACCCAGCGACATTGGCTTGGATTCATCTCTATGCATGCCCACCCACCCAAGTTCCATTCCTCCGCCACCACCTGCTTCTCTTTCTGAACCGTGCCTGTTCCATCTGATGTGCCTTAGGCGTGCCCTTCTCCTTCGAAGCTGACGGCAGTAACCAACTGATTCTCATGACCTCGGGGAGAGTGTCCCACAGCGTGACGTGGGCCGTGGGGGAAAACGGCACCCCACTGATTCCCCCACTGTCACAGCAGAACATTGGATTTCGGAGGTGAGGCGAGGCTGGACTCGGGGTGGGCAAGGTGGGCAAGAGCACTGAAGCCCCCGGGAAAGCCTGCAATAGCACACCCTTTCCTTTTATTGTCAGGTGCTAGTATATTCAGGGTGTTGTCTTTAGGGCAAAATAAAAATAGCAGTAGCTTCGCTAGGCAGTCCCCTGGGTTTGTTTTGTTTTGTTTTTTTTCAGTACCGGGAATCGAACTCACGACCTCGTGCCTGCCAGGCAGGCACTGTGCCGCTGAGCTAAATCCCCAGCTCCTCCCCTGGGGTATTGCGATCCTGCAGCAGACTGCTGGGTGATAAAGTGAGCCTCGTAGAACCTAATGGCTGTTGTTTTTCTCTTTCTTTTGTTCCAGTGCTTTGAAGAGAGCTGATGCCATCTCATCAATTGGCACCTCAGGACTGATGGACATGAAGAAGCTGGCCAAGTGGGCTGCTGAGTCAAAGCTGGACCCAAACGACCCCAACAACGCCCCTCTGATGCAGGTGATCTCGGTAATGGGATGCGGCTGGACTCGGCGTGACGGTCACAGAAAGGGCCTTGTTGGCACACCTTGTTCTCCTGCGTGGTTCTGTTGAATGACAGGAGTACTGCACTGAGTGACAGGTTTGAGTCCCGGCTCTGCTACCCACCTGGTCGTGGGGCCCTGCGAGCATTAAGCCTTCTAAGCCCTGTGCAGCCTTCATGGCATGGTCATGAGTAGCTGCACTGTCGTCTGTAGATGCTCAGCTAGTACATAAACCACAAGCGATAAATACTGGCTACCATTATTGTCACTAACTGTGACTTTTTTTTTTTTTTGGTACCAGGAATCAAACTCAGGGCCTCATGCTTGCCAGGTAGGCACTGTGTCACTGAGCTACATCTCTGGCTTAGCTATGACTTCTGCTAAGGCTCATAAGAAAGGATTTATTTCCCAATTCCATAGAGAAGAAACTGAGTCCAGAGACTCAAAGTTACTTACAGGCAGTCACACAGTTAATAAGTGGATCTGATGTGAGAGCACAAGCTCTTTCTCTTACCCCTTAACATACTGATGGGGTATTTCAAGAAATCTCTAAGTATGTACCAGATTAAGTGTTTGTCTCTACCATCACATTCAAAATTCTTTCTTCAGTGAATCTGTAAATAAAATGGGAAATCAGTTAGTAAATTATTTTTCTTGGAATCAAACAAAATGGGGTTCACTGCCAAGTTCATAACTGGTACAAAAGCACAATCAGCATGTGTGCTACAGGGGGGACCATGCAACTGATTCTCATCCCCATGCTTATTAGCACGGATTCATCAGGGGTAATTATGGCCTCTGTGAAATCTACATTTTCCTTCCCATCTTTCTAAGTCTCAAAGAAAGCTTTGTTTTATTCTGACTGCCATCCTTATAAACTCTCTTTCCAACATGAGACCTCTTAACAAGGAGAATAGACATATTAAGGGAGGTCACATCACCTGAAGTGTAGTGTATTCCGTATATAGTTTTCAAATCACATTGTGACAGCTGTCTTTAAATCAGCTGTAATAGATCTTACCCATCACACTCATCATTTTAACGACTTGTTTTCCCATAAAAGAACAAAACACAGGGATTGCCTTCCTGGCTGGTCTCTGTTGTCTTAGTTACTTTTTCTCATTGCTGAGACAAAATACCTGACATCCAAAGTTAAAGGAGGAAAGGTTTATTTCAGCCCACTGTTTAGAGATTTCAGTCCATAGTGAGCTGGCTCCAAAGCAGGGTGGTATGGCAGAGGAGAAACAGTTCATGGCATGGCAGGCAGAAGGCAGCAAGCAGCAGCAACCTGCCTTCTTTTTTCCCTTTATATTACATGCAGTCTACAGACCTATTGATTGCTGCCACCCATACCCAGGGTGGGGCATGCTTAATCCTAGCATCACTCCCTTAATCCACATTCATACACCTTCTGGTCAACGTATGTATCAATTCATACATTCATATGCCTAGCCAGCCACCTTTGAAATATCCCACCAATGACCATGTGAGACTTTGGGGGAACATCTAGTTATAAACCATAACACTTGATATGAACCAGAATTTCCCCTAGCATAAAGCAGGGTTCCCTTTCCCACCCGGAGGCCCCAGCAAGTCTCTGGTGTCTGGTCTTCCTCTACCAGGAGGAGGTCACAGCTGCAAAGCACAGAGGCAGGTAGCTCTTAGAGAACGTGCAGCCCACTCCAACTCAGCATCTCCATGAGGCTCTGGAAGTTGGCTCACTGGTGCCCATCTCTAGCTCACTTTTCTCCATGACCAAGGCCCTGAGACACTGTTCAGACAAAGGATGGCCATGCAACCAAATGAAGCTGACCCTCCTACTCAGACTTTTATCTACCTATGTGCACAAGCACATTAAAATCCTCCCAATGTATGGATTTTACGTGAGTGTGCAATGCATATGAGTAATCTTACTTCTGGTCAGTGCTAGTTCATACACTGAAATGTGATATCAATATTTCCTTTATTTCATTACATTGTATCATAACACTGTTTTAGAACCATGCACATAAGAAGTGAAACTGGGAATTTTTATGTTTTTGGAAAAATGAGTTGTGGTACTTCTTATAACTACTAAGTGAATATAATACTATCTGGCTTTTTATGACTATGTTCCAAGTATTTATCTTTCAAACCTGTCAGTCTAGAACTGTTAAATATTACCAAAAGCTTGGTGCTGGGTTCCTTTGGATGAAATCTGCTTGTTGTCTGGAGTTTTGCATTTTCTGATTTTTATAGGTTGCTACCAGTGGAGAATCCTATGTCCCTGATTTCTTTCGACTGGAACAGCTGCAACAGGAATTTAACTTTGTCACCAGTGAAGAATTAAATAGATCCAAACGATTCAGGCTTCTTCATCTTAGAAGCCAAGAGGTGCCAGAATTCCGAAATTATAAGCAAATTCCGGCATATGACCGAGAAATTATGGAAAAAGTATTCCAGGTAAGAAATTTCCTGAGAAGGGTCAATAAAATAATAAAATATTTGCTGTGCCGTTTGGTATGTGGTTGTCTGTGTGCTTTGCTGGTGTTCTCAGTATCAAAAGTAGTTTTTCTTTTATTACATATTTATATATAGCCAGTCCATTATTTTTCTTGAATTTGATAATCTCATTCATGCAGCAGAATACTGTAATTTTCTTTTCAGGCAGAAACTATTCTTGGTGAATATTTTTTGTTAGTTGGTTCTTCCTACCAACCTGTGGTTTACACTTGTGATCCTAAGGGAAAAAAACTCAACTTTGAACATCTTCAGACACCAGCAGAAGTTTACTGGTATTTAATTCTGAAGTAGTGTCAAACAGCTAAAGACGTGGGGCTGCAGGAATCTACCTGTGCCTCAAGCCCCGGGATGCAGAGCCCGCCCACTGCTAGGCCCCTTCTCCATCCGGCCGGGGGTTCTGCTGTGGTGGCTTCCTTCTCCCCTTTTGCAGACAGGATTTGTCCACTGGGTCCCATGGTTATCAGCATCATCCAGGTTTATGTTTGATGGCCTTAGCCAGTAGAAATGGAGATGACCTCCGGTCCCAGGTTCAGAAGCCTGGAGGAACAGGTCTGAGTGACCAAGCCTGGGTTAGAAGCTACTGCTGGCCGTTCGTCTTTGATGGAGGCTGGGCATAGAGAAGAGTGTGGCCGTTCCCATGGCACCCACGTGGTTTTACTGACTGAAGAAGAGAGAGGGCTGAGCAGACAGAGAGCAAAGAGCTACAGGCAGATATCGTGTGATCATGGGAATGTTTTCACTGGAGCTTTCCTCTGTTTTTGTAATCACTGTACTTAAAACAGATAAGACAGAACTTGAGCAGGGGCTTTGGTTAAGTTGTCTGACAAGCTTAGCATCTTGAATTATAGATCCCTTCTCTGTTTCTTCTCTGACTTCTATTCCTTCCTGCATGAACATCTTAACTCTTAAATTCTGTACTACTAGGAAGGCTGTGTAACTAACTGACAGGACTCAGTGTCCCAGATACTACATCCAAGATCCATTATGAACCAAAAGTTAGGAGAAACATTTATAATCCTAATTTGTGACTCAGAAGCCACACTGATAAATAATTCCCTGTTCCCAAGAAGAGCAACAGAGAGTCCTTTAAAATCATAAAACTACAATGTCCCTTTCGTTTTAGGACTACGAGAAGCGGTTACGAGACAAAAGTGTAATTGAAACCAAGGACCACATAGACACCCACCGGGCCATCGTAGCCAAGTACCTCCAGCAGGTAAGGAGGATGCTTCAGAGCAGGCCTATGGGGGGAGAGGGAGCCAGCATTCTAGGGTGGAAAGCTCTCCATTCTTGTAAATGTCTATGTCATTTTAAGCTTAACCTCTTGACTTATTTTCTCATAAATACAAATACAGGGGCTGGGGATTTAGCTGAGCGGCACAGCTCCTGCCTGGCAAGCGCAAGGTCGTGAGTTCAATTCCCAGTACCAGAAAAAAAAACAAAAAACAAAAACAAAAACAAAAATAAATAAATAAATACAAATGCATAGCTGATAGTATACTAAACTTTTAGGATATGTTGTGATTTACTATCAGTGAGTATCTTAAATGGGGTATGATTACAGAGGACTCCATTTCTAGTATTTGAATGTGTGTGTGTGTGTTGCATTGCATTACAGTGGTTACCACTATAGTTAGGGGAAAAAAAACAAGGTTTAAACCAAGAACTAACTGCCTTTATGCACTAGAAAACTAAAAATTGAAGTTGAAACATCTTTTTGTTTATCCTTTTCTTTTTCCAACTTTTTTCTTTCCTTTTTTTCAGTGAAGTTAATTGTTACAGAATGCTATGGTGATTACTAGACATTTTTCCTTTCTAGCTTATCTACTCTGTGGTCTGTGTACCCATCCCCCCCAAAAAAGAAAATGTATGGAAATTAAGAAGTATTTTATTTGAATTAGAAGGCTGATCATTCTGAATAGAGGAAAAACTTAAGAATCAATTCTGAATTGTGTGTACTTTGAGACTGGTCTGATTTTTTGTAATCACTAATGCATTCATTTAGCAAAAGTTTCCTGTCTGTCCAGCTTCTGGAAATATAACCCCTGTCTTTAGGGAACTTTCCCTGACTACAGTCTGTGGGTGGGACATTACAGCATTTACTGCAAGAGGAGACCAAGGCAGCAAAAAGGCACAGTTTGAGCGTGGGGAACACTTAGGTGACTGTAGGTAAAGGCTCAAAGGAGTACAGGCCATAAACTATAAAGCTTAACTAACGAGAACATTTTTAACTAAAGCTGACTTCTTTCCCCAGGTTAGAGAATCAGTAGTAAATCGTTTCCTAATTGCAAAACACCATTTTCTTCTTGCTGATTTGGTAGTAGAAGAAGAAGTTCCCAATATCAGGTAAAAAAATAATCAAACCAAGCCATTATTATTATTGCCTTTAAAACTCTTTATTTTGCATTCTATAAGGTGAAAGATATCATACAAGATGTTTTCACACTCATGTAACTTTTATTACAGTTCTATTTTATTATTGACATTAATCCCATACCATGCCTCATTTTAAATTAAACTTTATCATAGGTATGTGCACCTAAAGAAAAAATATATAGATGTCTATGATTCAGTGTTATTTGGGGTGTCAGGCATTCACTAGGGGCCTGGGAATATATTCACAGAGACAGAGGGAATAGTGTACTTTGCACTTTCACAGTGGGAAAGACAGGAGGGGAAGGGAAGAAGGGACAAAAAAAGGTAAACAAAACTATTCCATTAAAATTCATTATGACAGTTCTCTTTACAAATGAAAACACCCAAGTGCTCGAAGCAAATGATGATAGGAAGCACAATATCTGACTTCTAGCTACCCTGAACGCTTGGGGGATTGATCTTTGGTAACCTAAACAGGAACGCTGAAGAATTTGAACAAAACATGCTATTCCTTCTGTTTCTCAGATTCAACTTATCTATTTGTTCTGTGAGTTCTTTATCGTAAAAGTTATGCATATATGTGATACATTGAAAGTACCAAATAGTATAACAATCATTACATGGGATGCATTTGGGTCCAGAACAGTGCATCATGGTGGCATGAACTGGGGAATTTCTGTTGGAATAAGTTGTGCTGGGGCCCTCCCAGCGCATTCCGATATGGCCAGTCTTACCTGCAAATACCTCCAAAGCAGCTGCCCCAGCTTTCACTGTTTTCTCTTCCCTCCTACCCATGCGCCTCTTCTTCATAGCCTCCCAAGGCCAGGCTGCCCAAGCCGCCCCATCATACATCAGAGGAGGCCGCTGGGCCCTCACCTTCCAAAGTCCTGGGGTCAGAGCTGGGCGTGGTGGCACACACCTGTCATCCCAGCACTCTGGAGGCTGAGGCAGGAGGATTGTTGCGAGTTCGAGACCAGACTGGGCTACAAAGTGAGCTCAAGGCCAGCCTGAACTGCATAGCGAGACCCTGTCTCAAAAAAAGACAAAAAAACCCCCAAAAAACAAAATGCTGGGGTCAGGAGGGAGGCCTGGCCCCAGCAACCCAGCCTGGAGGTATAGAGCTCAGTGCATGCCCAGTGAGGGCAAAGGGCAGCAGGAAAAAGTGGCTATTGACAGGGAAGTTGGGAATAGACAGTATTTGCTTATTTGACATCCTGGTATTTAGAATAACCCTCAATGATCTCAGCTAGGGAGGGATGAATAAACGGTGAAAGATAACTTTCCATACTGGTGGTCTGGAAGGGCCCATTCACTTCATGACCTTTTCTGTGATCATATCTCTTGGTCTCCTGAAAAGACTATTTCCTAGACAGATAGATAGATAGATAAATAAATAAATAAATAAATAAATTTCTATCTGTGGCAACAACCTGTGTGGAAGAAAAGCAACATCCACATAAATTTCTGGGAAACTTCTCTAGTCCAGGCCCAAAGTGTAGTGATTGAATGTTCAGTCAAGAAAATTACACTTAGAACGGACGATGACTTTTCATGCTGTTTTTCCTTTCTTTCCTTCCTTTCTTTTTTTGTTTTTCTGCTTTACTTTCTGCATTAAGTTCTGAAGGCTCAGGGTATGTCCATTCTTTTATTTTAATTTTAGTTTGTTCTCGGCTTTCACCTAAGACATCTGTATATGTAATGGTCCAGCCACAGTAATGCTCCTGTGACTGCTCTGGAGGCATCGAGGTCCCCAGGAGGGTCACCTCTGGGAGGGGGGATTGATAAGAAAAGGGATTTGTTGTGGTGTGGTGCAAAGCTGTGTCTGTGAGGCACCAAGCTGGGGTGGGCAGGTGTCCTGGCACAGTGCGTAGTCAGTGGCCTGGCTTTGAACCCCAGCTCCTCTCCTACTACTTTATTTTCTTATGAAAAAATGAAATAAAATTTCATGACTTCAGCAAATCCTAGCACCTCTCAGAGCCTTCGGTCTCTTTGTCTGAAAAGCAGGGTAATTACTAGACTTGTGAAGATTAGAAATATTATAGGTATGGAGCTAGCACTCTTCCTGCTACACTGAAGGTGCTTATAACAGTACCTGTGCTCTACAGACCCTACAGAACAAACAGAAGCTGCACCTAGAAATCCCCCAGGGTTCCTGAGCACCCAGAGAAAGCTGCAGGGCCCTCACCCAGCTGCTGGGCACCTCCGGCAGAGGAGTCCAGACCAGGGCTACTGAGCCCACTCCAGGACTCAGCAGGGAAGCAGAGAAGCACAGGCCCCACAGCCCGCGGCGCGCTCTGCACAGCTGGCGTTGCTCTGTGGCTGTCATAGTTACTGATGTCAGCTTCCAGACACGAAGTCACATCTGTGCTTCTGTTCAGTCTCAGGCCAGAACTGATTTGCTTCAAAGACTTTTCTCCCGTGAGTCACTGGCCTTGTTGCTCTGTCTCCCAGGAAGTTCTCATTGCAGTCATTGCCATCACCCCAACAGTTGCCATTATAAGGCATCTATCTAGAGCACCCCACCCCAGCCAGTCCTCTCACCCACCCAGAGGGAGGTATTAAGGACCCCATTTTGCAGATGAGGCAAGAGAGACCACTCCCAAGGTAGAGTGGAGCCAGGATTTGCACCCAGTTCCATCTAACCTAAGGTGGAGAAGTCCCGGGCCCTGCCCTGGACGTGGAGCACACTGAGATTATGGAGGGGGCGGGGAAGAAGCGGTCCTGCCAGCTCTGGGGCTGGGACTCTGCAGAGGGGGCCAGGAGGGACCTGGGGTGGGTAAAATGCCACCCACTTGGAGGGCGGGACTGGCAGGAGCAGAGGGGAAGGGTGGGACAGCACAGGGCATGCGGGGAGAGGGGTTGCGGGTGAGCGAGGCAGAGGGCAAGGTGGGAGATGCGGGCAGGGCCAGGACATGGCTTGTCTTCCTCTGATAAAATAAATGTTAAGAACCCATGCACAGGCATGTGCCCTGTTCTGTAGAATTATTAGACCACACCCAAACTCCTTAAAAGGGCAGTGTTCTCAAAGGCCCTTGGGAGATGCTGGGGCAGAGTCTGGGAAGCCATCACCCAGTTTTAGGGACCTTCTTTACCTTGGAGTCCTAATCGAGTTCTGTCATCATTAGCATTTTGGGCCTAAGCCTTTTCAAGCTGGCAGAACAAAAGCGACCACTGAGACCAAGGCGAAAAGGCCGGAAGAAAGTGACAGCCCAAAACCTTTCTGACGGAGACATAAAGCTGCTGGTGAACATCTGCCGGGCTTATGACATTCCAGTGAGGAAGCCCACAGCAAGGTGAGCCCTCTCCATCACTGCTGTTGTTACAGAGCTTCTCCCTGGGGGCCAGGAGTTCTTGGCGAAGCCAAGGGTCTGCTGTTAGCAAGAGACAATCCCTCCAGGCTAAGGGTGGTAGGGGACAGGAGACATCTCACGGAGCTCAAGGACTAGAGGACAGCCGACGGTACAGTGGACTGCAAGGGCTGACCTCTTTCCCTGAGGCTCTGCTGTCTCACCTGCTTCCCTCTGAGTTCTCCTCTTTTTTCTCATGAGATGGAAGTCCTTGTATAGCCAGGGTACCACCAGCTAAGCATCGCTCCTCAGGAGAGAGGCTAAAGGTGCCGACTGGGGTTAAGTGTTGATTTGTGGTCCTGTCCCCTGCTGCCAAAGAGGTAGGGTCAGAGCAGTGAGCGGAGCTGGGCAGATACACAAGCGTTTCTTTCCTCTCACCTGTCACTACCAAGGCTCACTACCCTGTGGGGTTGGGGGCTCTCCCCGCAGGTGAGAGGAGGCTGAGTTTCTTATACATTCAGAGAGCAGAGATAGAACAATCAAGAATTACTACTTCTTTTTCCTTTGCTCTTATCAGTGCAGTGGAAGAAAGTAAAGTTTATTGTGCATTCGCAGAGGGACATGCTAGGCATTCACAGGTATCATTTCATGTCACTCTCACTGCTACTACTACCGTCTTCATTTTACAAAAGAAATAATGGAAGTGAAGCAAGTATAAGGGACTCAGTCAAGGTCGTTCAGCACCACCTGTCTCACAAGAGTGCTGTGCTGGCCTTTGGCATTTTCTTTCCTCCTAGCTTCTTCTCCTTTACTCTCTGTCCTCCAGTTAGTTTGCCATTTTTCTTTACTGACTAATTCTTCAACCTATTACAGAAAGTCTGTTGGTGCCAGCCATTTTCCATGCTTTGGTTCTTGAAAGGGTCCATGTAGGTTTCCTGAATGTACCCCCAGCCCTTTTGCCCTGAGGTCCTCAGAGTTCAACTCTGGAGTGAAAATCTGTTTTGCTGTTGGTTGTTTTTAAGAAACATAAAGTTGCTTCTTTTTTTTTTTTTTTTTTTGGTCTCAATATAATATTCTTGAGTGTTAAGAATAATTAATTCGGCGCCTTGCGCCCAGGCAGCGAGATCTCCGGGAGCGGCAGGGCTCCTGGGTCCAAGAGTGGGCCGGACTCATACCACCGCGATTTCCAGCCGAAAAG